TTTTACCAAAAATCGGGTTGTTTGCATAAAAAGAGGGAAAGAAAATGGTGAGTGATGGGTACAGCTACCTAGGGAGGGGAGGAAATTTTTTTCAGCCCCTATGTGAATTCTGAATGGCTGATTAAAAAATGGTTTAAAAAAGGGGTGTTCAACCTTAGCAACTTTTAAGACTTGTGGGCTTCAACTCCCAGAATTCCTCAGAGCATGGCTGGTTGGGGAATTCTGGGAGTTGAAGTTCATAAGTCTTAAGAGTTGCCAAGATTTGACGCTTGGTTTAAGAGAATAAAAAATATATTGCATTTGAGACATGGCTGTATGTACTCCCTCTGCAAGGAAAGCATCCCCACTTAATTTGTGTCAACTGACAATCACTTGGGGTTAAACTCTTGACATTAGTGGAGTTATTTATCAAGCCATACATTGGCTCCTCACCTTCATTTTTTCATTTTTTGGAGGTTGCTGCCTTTCGCTTCTGCTCTGTGCGTTGCAGTTTCAAAACGATCTTGCGTTCATGGCCACCAGGATTTGGGCGATTTGTATGGTCCTCAGCCTCTTTCTTAGATCGGCCTTTGCGTGAAGAGCCACCTAGGCATACCACAGAACAACAGTTAATTACTTAGGGCCATTGACACTCGGTCTTGTGTAAATCCAGTAAATAATCAACAGTTTATTAGATGTTGAAAATCAACTCCAGCCTCTCACTATTAAGAAAAGTAGGAGTAGCAAGAAGAGCCACCGGATGTCAAAAAAAAAAGTCAAGATGGCAACCATCACCACATGATCAAAACAGCTACTTTTTATATGCATTGCGTACCACCTTAATTTATTCCTTTTGCAATCAGCAATCACTTGGAGGGGGAAACCCTTCCCTTTTCACACTGTCTTAGCAAAGAGTAAGAACTGTTGTGAAATTTTGGTTCATAATCTTCAGACTCCATGAAAAAATGTTCTAGTTCTGTAGAGAAACTTGACTCCATATTTACCAAAATCAAATTTTAAGGTTATTTTTAGGGTATGTGGTTGCCAAATTCTACAAGCCAATACTAATTTGAGGATAATGTTTTAGAAAGGATAATAATAACTTTGAGCAGAAAGTTTCCACTTAAAATAAATTGTCAGGGCTTGTTTTTGACCATATGTAAGATTGTCCCTAAGTAAAAAATCTGGCTGGAACTTTTTGATGTGCACTAGAATTGATTTTTCTTCGGCTTCTTCTAAAATGCAAAAGCAAATTCAGGAAGCTATGACTTTTTTTAAAAAAATGATGGGATGAAAAAATAGGCTTTTTTTGTTGTTAAGAATTCAGCGACTTGGAAGCTGTTGGTTACTGTTTTTTCTTCAGCCGCTAGAACTAAAACATAAATTATGTATTTATTTTTAGCAAAGGCATGTTTTCCAGCCATTGTGGGAATCATGTGCCAGGCATGCATAAATCTCTAAGCAGTGCCAGCAGAGTCCCTGTGTGTCTGTGGAAATAAGACTAATGTGGGGCTTTTAACAGCTTGTAGCTGAGTAAAAGAAAAACCTAATAAATCATTTGGTTAATTAACCCATAATGCCTGGATTTACATAAAATACTAACAAAATCCAAGAATCTAGAGAGTATCTTGCTTCTTGTCAGATCGTGAAGCCA